TCCAGATTAGTTTTTTTTTTTCCTCCATGCTTTGGTTTGTGTATTATTTGCACATGGCAAAGAAATGACAGACACACACATGCCCCTTTCTCATCTCGTTGTGCAGTATAGATCCCCATGTCTTCCCCTCCTGACCTCTAACATGAGCTGCAAAGTGTTATAACCTGAACCCTGAGGATACAGCACCACACACACACTCATTCTTATACTTTTTTTTTATTTAGCTTTTCTCATTGCACGTCTTACAATAATTAGAATGGAACACATCTTTTTGCTCCTCTCCTTGCAGTTTTACAATGTGTGTGCTGGCAAACTAATGGATAAAGTAACTTGAAATAAGGGAAATTTTGCAAGCATCAGTCATTTCACTACAATGTAATCAGAGGCTCCAAATTATATGTAATGTTCTCTGTTGTATTCCTTTTCTTCACTTTTAGATTTGGGTTAAACTAACAGAGCTTATCTGCAGGTTTTCTTTTCTGTGTCAACAACTCAACCTTACATGTGTCCTTTAAGATTGAGTATATGAATAGCTACAGAAGGGAACTCGTAGACAAAAAGAAGGTGGAAGAGTTGGTGAAAGTGATGGGGAGTGCAGGAACAGAAGGAAAACTAGTAAATACCTAAAGGACGTTGATAAATGTTGATGATGAAGCAGAGATTTAGGTGAGAGCAGGGCACCCTCATTCTGCGTAGAAGAAATAGAGGCTAGAACCCGGGGTTGAATAAGGTGTAAGAGGAATGAAAAGATGTTAGAAAAACGGAGCGTGAGGAAAGAGCAGGAAAAAAGGGAAGAAAGAAGAAACCTGTCAAGATGTGCCTGAATATATGGTGACAGGCTGAAGGGTAAAGAAGCATAGATGGATTTAGAAAGAGAAGGAAAAAGAGAGCAGGAGGGATTAGCTTGTGTCTTCTTTGGTGTTGTTTGTTGATCTTAATGGGCCTGGGAACACTTATAGCACTTAAACCAGTCTGACCGGTTTGACCTCCAGGGCACAGAGGTTAAAAGCCTTCTGCTGACAGATGACAGGGAGAAAGCAAGCAATGACGAGAGAACGAAGGTGAAATGAAAGGAGGGCTGAAGTTAGAGGAGACGCAGTAAGGACGTAGGAGAGTGTGGATTGAGGGAGATGGATAAAGAAGATGGAGAAACAGAGAACACACAAGAGGTAGGAAGGAAAAGACTGAAGAATAGAGAAGACATGGTGGTTGGTTCCAAGAGCCTCTGACTCTACATATTGCTGACTGATTTTGGATCCTGAGGTCACCATATACACAGTACTGTGCTAATGTTTTCAGCACATGGAAAAATTCTGTAAAGTGAGGAAGTTTTCAGCTTTACACAAAGTGCACTAAACAGAATCTGTTCATAGTTTTTCAAGGTGATCTGCATGTAGCCTCTGGAGAACTTGCCACACTTCTATGGATTTAGGGTGTCTCTCAGTGGCTTCAGCCTGATCATGTGATCCCAGACTGACTCCATGATGCTGAGACCAGGGCTCTATGGGGGCCAGACCACCTGCTGCAGGACTCTGGGTTCTTCTGGGCTTTGGACAGAGTTCTTTATGACTCTGGCTGGAAGTTTGGGCTCAGTGTCAGGCTGCCGAAAGAGTTTGGGTTTGATCAGGCTCATGATGATTGATTAGATTCAAAATGTCTAAAGTGCCTAAAACCTTTGCACAAGTTTCCAAATTTAATTTAATGTTCATAAAACAGGTTTCCCCATGCCACATGCTGATTCATTTACAGCATTACTCACATGCTTATATTAACTTGCAGTTGACTTAAAATTCACATTTAATGAAGTATTTCAAATCAAATCAAATCAAATTTTATTTGTATATCACCAAATCACAACGAAAGTCACACTTTACAGCATAAGGTCTAGACCTTACTATCATCACTATTATTAAAGAGGGAAAACCCAAATTTAATTTATTGCTGATGTTCTACCATACATGTGCAAAAACTGTTCTTGAATTGAATAAAAAAATAAGATGAGCAGAAAAGTAGAATCTAAAAAGCCTTTGTTACCATGTCTAAATGAACTGCAAATGTGTGTTTGTCTTTGTACAACACAAAAAAGGTTGGTCCTCCAGTTAACGTTAGAATTGTGATAGAGCTGTGACAGACACACAGTGGACATCTGGGGTTACTGGTATTGTATATGACAAGTTTATTTCTCAACTATAAAATGTACCACTGGTGCAGATGTTTGTCACGGTGCTGTGTTAAAATATAAGGGATCCATATCAAGAGTGATTGGTAATGTCAGAAGTATTTTTGGATGTGTATACAGTCAGTATTGATGTTGGTGCAGGAAATGCAGTATCTTTTGGGCTTCACTGGTCATACAGGAGGAAAGATGGATATTTAGAGGTGTGAGAAGAAGCTGAGAGATGAAAAATACATGTAACAGGAAGGAATGGATGTTAGAGAGCGGTGGGGAGTGTGGGATAAGAAAAAGGGGGGGTGAAATTGTCAGGATGTCTGACAGTTTGTGGAGAAAGTCTATGCTTTATATTGTTTATCTTCTCTCCTGTTTGTCAGAGGGGAGGGGTCGTCAGGTCATCTTTCAGCTCCTCTCATCCATCTCTCCTCCTCCTGCTTTGTCTGTTCTCAGCTCTATAGGCCTGTCTCGTCCTTGCCTGTGTGTGTGTGTGTGTGTGTGTGTGTGTGTGTGTCCTAATGTTGTAAACAGGTCAACACAGCCTTGGAGTTGCTAATTTAACACATTTTGAAATTCACGTTACACACAGAAAACATATTTTCAGACACAATCATTAAACATACACGTTTTCCATTAAGACACACACGCACATACTTGAGGTTCAGTCACCTGTAACAGGCCGAGCTCAGGAACAGCACGCCCCATTACACCACCATGCTGCTGTGTGTGTATGTGTGTGTGACTGCATGGAGCCATTAGCTGTAATATATCCTGTCTGTATTTGATCCCTGCTTTTTTTCTCCAGTTTGTTTGCTCTTTGTCTCTCCCCCTCTGTCTCTGTTGGTTTGGGGGAGTTTGAAGGGAAATTACAAGTCATCGCCCCTTGCTCATGCTACATATAGTTTAACTGTTATGTGTGCACACTTGGACACTGTGTAAAATTGGGCTTAATGTTGTTAATTCTCTGTCCTCACCTTGCCCGGAGATGTTAAGTGTATGCATAGCTCTGTATGTATGTGTGTACATTCAGGGGTCTGGTGTTTCATGCCATGTCCAGAAATGCTGACTCTTCAGGTTTTTGTATCTGTGTACTGTTGGCCACCCTGTTTCATTGTCTTCCTTTAAAGAGAGCCAGAGTCAAACTGGAGCTTCTGTTCCAGAAGAAAACCTCAAAAGGACATTACCAGTGTAATAATATTCTGTCTCTTCAGGTGTGGGTTCCTCTACAGTTGTGGCGTTTTCAGCTTTTCTCAATGGCCGCTACCCCCCCGCTGACCTGACTGGAGATATCACAGTGTCCTACAGCTCACCAACAGGTAATCATTTCCACTTTTCATGCTCATTTCCTAATGTGTGCTAGTTTAGTGCCAATCCAAACCTTGATTTTTAACAGGATAATCACTCTGACCGATGGGTGTTCCAGAAACCGTGCTTGTTAATGGGTTTTGTGTTTAACACAGAATCCATCAGTCAAGCTTACTATAGCTCTCAGCTTGTTCGGCTGTAACACTGATGACTGTTCACTTAATGAAATGTTAAAAACAACATTTGTCTTTGTTCACAAGTGGCGTTGACATATGTCCTGATATTGAAAATTAACAGACTCTGCTCTGTTAACATAACCATAACAACACGATACATCTTGAAAACACCAAACCAAAAACAGTTAGCTTGATGTTAAATAAATTAACAGCTGAATATAGTAGCTCTGACAACACATTTATCTAAAAGTTGGATTTAGCTACAGCACCTTCTGCTTCCAGCAGCACTGACAGGTGACAGAGTGCACAGACTATTCGGACAAACAACGTAAAACTAACTTATTGCAACGGTAAGTAAAATCTCAGCAGCAGTTCCTGTTTGCTACTGAGCACCACTGACAAGTAAGGGATATCTCTAAAGGTCTGTTTGCTAAGCTACAGATTTGCTTACACAGACCACATTTCAGCCCCAGTTGAATCTTCGTCAGGTCAAAATGTCCAAAACGTTTTTTGTTTTTTTTTAATGGCTATGCTGTGTATATTTCTGTCAGTCAATCAGTACAGTATGCTGACCAGGAGCACCAAATTGTTCTGGTATTTCTTCAAGTTAATGCTTTTGTCTTGTGTCTTAGTGTTCATGAAGTGGGATTAATATGCTTTATTGCTCAAGTTAAGTTAGGTTAGGTTATGTTTTTTGTACCTGTAGGTGGATTTGTTTTGCTGCAAGATAATGTAGCCCCTGTGACCAATCTGGAGTCAGAGAGTATTCAAGTGGTATGTTGGGTCAAGGTCTAGGTTCAGGAGGAGGGGTAGTGAAAGGAGTAGGAAATCCACTTTAGAGCAGTGGTCCCCAACCCCCGGGCCGCGGTAAAATTGTCAAGCGTTGACCGGTCCGCAGTGATAAAAAGGCTGGGGACCACTGCTTTAGAGGACCCAAGTAACAACTGGAGACAATAAAAGAGTTACTGCAAGTTGTTCTGGTTATAGTTAATTATGTGGCTGTCTCTTTGCAAGTCTAGAGCTCTGAGTCAGGTCAAAAGTCTGGGTTCAAATGGAGAAAAGTGGGCTGTAGCACAGTCCTACCACACCAGTGACATCCAAGGGAAAACTGAAAAGAAGATGATGTCCCCCTTCATGGGGGGTGAAGTTCAGCTGGTGGCTCGCCATCTCCTTTGTCAAGAAGAGAATCAATCTATAAAATTTATAAATTTATAAAAAACCAGTTCTGAGCTGTTCACGTGGACTGAAACCATAACAGAGTGATATACATCTTAAACAGTTTGCTGACTGACTGTAGTTACTACAGTTAAAACTCCATTTCAGCCGTTTGTGTAGCACCTTTCACCCGACTGCTGTCTCGAACACCTTAGATGGAACTGTACAACTGGTTTTACATTAATTAGTTCTGCAAGAACAACAACAACATCTCAGAGCACTGACAGATAGTGGGAGTGTTTGGCAAACATCTAGAATGTGAAATTAGTCTTTCAATTAAGTACAAGACTTTCTATAACAGCATTAGCTTTAAGTAAAATTGTGAAGTGAGTTAAAGTCTAAACTGTAATATCACATCCAATTTCCTGCAGCTGCATACAGAGGGCTGACTGGATGCAGGGACATCTGGGCTTTGTCCAGACAAGCCCAGTTCATCCCCTTGCTCTCTCCAGGCATCTGGTTCCAGGCCCTGCAATATTTCTGGAAGATATTACCTTCCCTTGCAAAACAGTCAAACCACTCTTTATTTCAAATGTCAGAGAAAGTCTTTTTTTTTTTTTTACTTAATACTGATTTCAGCATTTGTTCAAAAAACAGTGCATACAAAAATTTCTTGCTATTGTTTCCTTTGGATTCCATTTGGTTTGGCAGGCCTCTAATGGTGGAACAGTTTCCCCTTCCCAGAAGCACGTTTAATGTGAAATGTCTGAAAATAACTAACATACTGCTGACCTGATTAGGTCCCATACATCCCTTTTTATTTGCTCATTTAGATCGACTTATACAATTGTGTGTTATGTAAATACTGTGTGTGTCTTTTAAGCCGAGAGCTGTCGAAAAAAGTTCATTGTGCTATGCATAATGACAATAAAGATTCTTGACTTGATATTGGGAAGAGTTTCTTTTTATTAAGCCTCAGTGTGATGCTAAATATAGCAGAGAATAAGGAGTCTGGAGTGTTTCAATGGGCCTTGGGTGCCAAGCAGCTGGGGGAGGGTCTGTAGGGGGCTGATTTCATGTTTTGGAGGAAGCTTGTTGGACTGGAGGTGTAATTGGGAGAGGTTTATTAAAGGATAGAGGAAAAAGAGGCATGACGGGATGGAGAAGAACAGATCTGAGGTACGCTAGGAGTTAGGTATGGGGAATGAGGCGAGCTATGCTTGGTGGAGAGGAAGAGAGGGACACAATGTACATATGCTTTGGTGTTGTGAAAGGAGCAGTTGTATTTTAGACTGAAAAGAGATACCTCAGGCTGGAGATGGGAGAGGAGCAAACCAGGGAGGACATGTTCTAATGAGTGGACTGACAAAGAAAAGGGAGAAGAGATGAAGCAATCTAAGTTGGAGTGGATACAAAAAGAAGTAGCACAGGGAAGAGCACCAGGCCCATGCACAACAGGTGGCCAAAAGTATTTAGACACCTTAATGGTAATGCTCTATCATTCTTAAATTGTGGGCATTAATCTGCTGCAATGCTGCTGCAGGGGTTTGCGCCCCTTCACTCAGAAGAATAGCAAGTTTCAGCACTAACGTGCAGCATGGCTTACAGTCCATGTTCCAGTTCATCTCAAAGGTGATGGATGGAGATGAAGTCAGGGCTCTGTACAAAACTAGGATTTGATTTGCAGGCCAAACTGGGAAAACCATTTCTTCATGCACCTGGCTTTGTTATGTTCAAACAGGAAGGGACCTTCCCAAAATATAAATGCATGCCCTAACATTAAAATTAGTTCCATAACCGTAACTAAAGACGGCTGGATGAAGCCTTCCTTTATATTTGTGCCAATTAAAAAAAAAACAAAACAAAAAAAAAAAAACAAGTGAGGTTTGACAGCTTAAGACAAAACAAAACACTGCGACATCTGGTGGCTTGTTAAACATACAGCAGCTTTTCAAGACTGGCTCTAGTTCAGTACAAGTGAGTCTACCTAGTATTATTAAACCTATAATACTTGCATTAAATGCTTGTTATTGTGCAATGTGTTACTGTAAAACAAGTGTAGTGTTGTTAAAGCCCAGTGACACTGATGCGTTTGAACTTCATGGTTCATATGTAACATTCACGTGATTTGACTGGAGAATGAGATTCATTAAATTAACCGTTACTTTCATTACCATCTTCCTCAGTTATTATCTTCTTATTCTACTAATGTGCTGTCACATACTTGATATCAAAACTTTCCAAAGTGTCAAACTGAGTGAAGCGTCTTCAGAAGTTCAAGTGACGCTTCAGAATGTGAAGACATTCTTCATTTATTACAAGCTCTAACACAATGTGCTGAAACAGTGCAGCTTCACAGAAGCAAAACAAGTTTCAGTATCATCCACCCATCTCCAGTTGGAACTGTGGTTTGGACCTGAAAAATCACCCCCATATCAAAAGCACACAGACAATGTGTCCGCACGGTTTTGGCCAAATTGTTTATATATTACAGCTGGCAGTGTGTACATACAGTTTAATGCAGAAAAGTAGCTGGAAGTGGACCAGCTGGTACTGTGTTGATACCCCACTTGTAAACCTTAGCAATAAAACCACAGCATATGTAACTGAATTTATGGAGCTGTTGCAAAGAAATATCTCCAGGAGAAACATACATGTCCTGATATGCTCACTGAAACACACTGTATGTATGTACAGTTCAGCCCAGTTTTAACATGCATTGATATCTTTTTACCCAATTATCATCCAGATCATTTTCTCACTGTGTAAGAAATAATGCATCGCGAGTTTGTTAAATGATGTTGATGTGCTGGTGAATTAAGCCTGGAAACAAATTCTGATTAAGGCTAAATTACCACACAGCATTTTCACATCATTAATTTTCACAGCCCATTAATGCTATTTTTCTGTCTCAAAGCCAACATTCTAATATTTAACTTTAATCCACTGTTTTACGCCTTCACACTGTGTGAATGCTGCCTCTATCAGTCCGAGGAGACAAACGCTGACCAACACCAAACCAAGCCAGACTAGCTGCTTTAAGCTCTCCTTTGTCCCCACCTCCATAAAACAATGAGTCTGTGCTTCACTGAATCATACGCCGATAACAACAAGTTACCTATATGTCAGTCACTAGCCGTTGTCTTGTTTGTATGGTTTCTATTTACTTATTTTATTACCTTAAATTCTTTTATCGACTATTTTATACTAGTTGGACTCGAGCGCAATATTATCTGATTGTCAAATACTGATAGAGATATCTGACATGTCCTGTGCATGAGCATAGTGTTGTGTGTATGTATGCCTGTGTGATATGAGAGAGAGATTTTACCCTGTATTAATTCATGGTAGGTTCACTAAGAGGCCACCTCTCGACTTGAGGAGTGCTCTGATCTCATTGACACTTGGAAGCTGTCCAGTACAACCACAGTCTGACCTGCTGGTCACTGAGCAGCTCCACTATGGCAGTTGGGGTGAGGGCACCACAGTGGTGCTGCTGAGCGTTTGGTAAGCACCACTGTGTCACCTGTCCCACACAGATTTCACGACTAGGGTGCAGGGATTGAATCGGTATCAGCCCAGTTTTAACATGCATTGATATCTTTTTACCCAATTATCATCCAGATCATTTTCTCACTGTGTAAGAAATAATGCATCGCGAGTTTGTTAAATGATGTTGA